GGAAAAACTCAAAATCAGTTTAATAGAGTTGGAATGTCACAAACATCAACCTATGGAGAGTGAAATTTGTATAAGCAAGCTGCCAAATTAACACAATTATAATAGTATAGTCCATATGATGTGAGCTGCTTTCGTCAACCAAGCAGTGAAGGATAAATTTGTACTTCTCAGCTTAAAGTTACCCACAAAGGCATCATATGTCATGAGATATAATGTCCTTTGAGGATGAGCTCAAAATTGTTCATACATCTCAGTCTACTTTGAATAGTAATCCACCACAGTGGAAACCCATATTTTCACTAACTAGTTGAACCAACCATATAATCAATTATAATGTCACAGCTAGGTGAGCAAATGACACATTCCAACATAGAAAGAAACTAACCAACTGATAACTAAAACATATATAAGGAAAGTTCATCAGAAGAAACGGCAAGCAATTTTTGTTTCAAAGGCATTCCACCAAAAATACACTCCTGGTATTGACCAACAACAAAAAAGGTTATGGAATAGATAGAACAAAAGTGGCATAACGTAAATGTAACTTCAGTTAAGTTATCAATAACCTCTGATGATGAAAGTCTAGGCTATTGAACTCTCTAGCTAGCACAATTCTCACCTACTTATATGATAATCACAAAACATATGGTTTATATGCACCTTCATAAAAACAAAAGATATATAAAACTTCAACCATAAAAGCTACAGAGTATAACATCAACAAGCATCTTTAACTGACCCCTTGCGCAAATAAGCTTTAGTCATTGAAGGATCAAGCTCTATAGCCCTATTTGCATCTGCAACAGCTTCTGAAAAACAAAAGGATTGAAGCTGCATTTAATCGCCTTAGATTGAATAAAAAGAAAGCATGATGAAAAAGCAATAACCCTAGACCACATTCCATGTCATGCATATTATGTTGTATAGTCCAAAAGACAGAAAAGTTAGTAGCGCATCCCTCGTAGTTGTCTAACAGAGTTAACTTCTAAAGAAGACGACCTGCAACAAATGCCATTAAAAGTATAGGACTCTTATCTCACATGTGAATACAAACCAACGTACCATGATCGCTCTGCTGTCATAGAAATTGTAGTCAATCCAGAGCAGTTCAGTTCTTGTGGGTCGAGAGGGCAACGAAATAGGGGATTAGTGGCAAAAGACCTTTGGATTGACTACAGCAAGCCAAATTTCCATGATTTGGCCTTGATAAGATGAGATGGTGGATTCAAGATTTGGCTAATCTGAAACCCGGAAAACCTAACAGGGAATTTGGAGAACGGCATAGGACGAGCGTACCGGTGAAGTTTCCGAGCTTGAGATTGGCCTGGGCGCGATCGGCTAAGATATCCGCGTTGCCGGATTCCAGATCCAAGGCCTGGGTGTAGAGATCGAGGGCGAGGTCGAAGTTGTCGTCGACGAAGGCCTCCTTCGCCCTCTTCCCCAGATCCGTCGCCATTGGAGAGAGTGAGAGCGAGAGAGAGCGCGCGACAGAGAGATTCCAAAGAGGTCAACCAAGTCGAAAGAAATAGGAGAGGAGGCCCGACGTAAAGGGCAGCAGGGCAAAAAGCGTTCGGATTCCATGCAACCCTGCTTCTAAATGACATCCTACGGTTATGGGATCTGAGCGATAAGAACAGCCTACTGCAGGTAGAGCCGAGTCTCGTTCTTCGAATAAGAACCATCCGATCGGAATTTAGGCGCACATCGTTGGAGCGAATCCTCCCTAGGATTCATGAATCGGAGGAGTCCCAGTTACCATACATGGAAACTACGCTCTCTATTGGGCTTTTGTCGAGGTCCCACAGGTAATGACCAATCACAGCTCCTTGCCGTTGTGTTTATGTCTGACAACTCGAACTTGAACGTGGATTTGTTAAGAAATATTATAATTACATTTATGCCCCTGCTGGGGGACTTCTGCCCAAGGTATTGAGGTCATTTTAGGTATTTTACATGTTAAATAATTAAAATTTGTAAATCAATTCATAATAATGATTAATAATGGTTAAGCTGTGTTTTACAGTTGGGGGACATATATGCCACATTAAAGTTTGAAGTTTGCAAGGAAATAGAATGTGCATTGGGTTTTAGGATAAAATCTATCACTTCATGTAATTGTTGTTTTATCATTCATGTATGGTTATCATATGCAAGCATGTACTGATAAAAGTTTCCAAATTGATTTTGGATTGCAAGATATTAGTGGACTGTTGTTTTCCACCAATTAAGATTCATTTGGATTTTTAACTTATTTTAAAGGTTTTTATTTATTTATTTTTGGCTTTGTGAGTATGGATATGTTTGTCATCAGAGGAAGCACATGGAAAGATAAAGCATATGTTTAGTGTAGAGATTATATTCTATTCTTCAGGTAATCAAAAGACACATTCTTAGCTTCAATCTGCCTCAAAAGAAAAGAAAGGAAAAGAACAACAAAAGAAAAAAGAAAAGAAACAGTACTGCTGTCACTTTGCTTAAAGCAAATAGATTGAGCTTGGCATCTAGGTTGCAAGCATGATCTTATCCATGTTACCAATGCTAACTTTGAATGACTCAGATCTCTAATTATGTTTGCATTTTATATGCAAATCTGTCATGAAAGAATCCATTTACTGCAAGCATCAAAGTGATGAAAAAAGTTGAAGGTGAAGAAACTCAGAGACTCATCAAGCATTTGATAACTTCATTGTTGTCCAAATTTTTTGGCCAATTTTTCTGATCAGTTGTTCTTCAGTTGCAAAAAGAAAGGAAATTTGATGCTTCAAATGTTTCAAACATATGTACTTGTGAGTTTAACTTGATCTGAGGAGACAACTTAAATTGACTCATCATGGGTTATGACAGTAGCATGGTTCTTGGAATAAATGTGGTGCCTTTCTTTGGCTGCAAGAAGATGATATTATCAGTACTCATAACCTTGTTGTTATCTGAGATTTCTAGTCTCGAACAGGTCCCCTACTGATAGAATTTAAGCTGCATAATTCTTGATCTCTACAATGAATTAGTTGGGAGAAGGAAGCATGGAGGAAGAACAATGCACCAGATAGAACTGAAGCTGCATAATTCTTGATTGTTCCTGGGTTACCTGACAGTAGCTATAATTGGGAAAAACAGAGGAAGAACTAATCTGCATGTGCATTTCTCTCAACATACTAATAAGACAAATATGCATCTACAGCTTCATTTATTGATACAGCCAGAATAGTCTTGTTGATGCTGATTGATATCAGCATGCAAGACAAGAGGTTGGACAAGTTGTAGAAGACCTTGTCATGATTGGGATATGAGCTTCCAACCCTTCATGAACACTCAATTTTCTTATCCCCATAAAATTAAAAGCAGTTCATTTGGAATTTGTTCAAGTATCAGCCAACAGTTTCTGGACTGCAGATTGAAAATTATAGGCACAATCCTATATTATGGGAGTGTTATATACAACCATTGATTCAGAGAGAAAAACTTAGCATTATATATATATGACTATTGTTAATGCATCAACTCTGACTTTGCAAAACTAAAGTTTGAGAGGTTGGAACAGTGTTTTCAAGGGGATGGACCTCAAAGTCAAGTCAAAGCATGGGCAAGGTTCATGTTCTATTATGACACTTTGGATAAGAGGTGGATCTTGTGTGAATCCAATGGATGACTTTTGAGATGGTGAGAGGTTGCTTATCATCATAGACAACCATGAATTCCTGAGAGAAAAAAAAAAGGGGTGTCTTTGACAAGCTACTTTTCTCTTATTTGACTTCAGACTGCTATGACTATGTGATCTGAATGCTTCAAGCTTGTTGACTAAATATTGTCTTGTAGACCCAAATGCAAAATCTAAAGGTTCAGTGTCACTTTGACCTTTTCATCAAGAGCTTGACATTAAGTTTCCAAGATCCTCAACGTTTCAATCCTCTACTATCATCTTTATGATCCTAATGGTCGGTAAATTAGTTTTAGAAGCTGCATTTACTGCATGGCTTTGTTGCAACCTGTTCTACATATCATATCAGGCAACTGAGAAGTGTTCAAAATATTTTCTGAGCTAACCTTCCCTATGAGAGACAAATCTTTCTACCAATAAAACTATGATACATAGGTTGAAAAGAGGAGGATATGTTTTGTTTCTGATACTCTGAATTAATATTCAATCAAGATGAATGCATGCATAATTTGACTTCTCCTTAAACACCAGAAATAATTCTGTCTTTTGTATCAGAAACAGACAACATAGAGATGTTACACATATAGGAAATACCAGTAACATGGTTAAGAAGCAGAGACTGAGAATAAAGAGTCCATCTAAAGAATCACCAGATCATAAATGTAGAGTGAGAAGCAGCTGTAGCAGAGTGGCAAAACACAAATGCCCCAAGACCTCAAATCTCACATATTCTTCCTGTTGCAGTCACATGCCACCACTGTGCTGGCTTTTCTATGTGCAAGCTTTTGTGGAGTTCTTCTTGTTTGCCTCTCCAAGGAGAGCATATGGCAACTGTTGGCCACCCAGCCGATGCTGAAACTGTTGGCCATCCTTTTCCTCCTCCCCACCTCAGTCTGCACAGATCATATGGTCATGGAATGAGTTGACACAAGATCTTGTTCTTGTTTCTGTTGCTTGGATGGATTCAGAGTGAATCCAAATAAAATTACCTTCATAGATTGCTCATCTGAAGAACAATTTCATTGCTTACCTTGCTTTCATCCCATGTTCTGATCATCAATTAGTTCGATTAATTAGGTTTGTCGGATTAAGAACTGCCTCGAACACTCTTGTACGGCTGCCTTGAAGCATATTCTTTACTCACCAATCCGCGTTGACCAGTTCGGCTTCTTCCGCAATACGAAACCCAATCTAGAAGTCAAAGAGATTTAATATGATGCGTCTGCCGTGTGATGCTGATTACTGAGGGGATGATAAGGCAGAATCGAAAAAGCAGCTGTAAAATACACAAGAAAGTGTACAGAATTAAGGATTTTTCTTCTTTTCTCTAACCTGAAATGAGCAATTAAACTGAGGAAAGTGATTATAGAGAAAGAACTCGTCTTACAGCAGCAGCAGCAGCAGAAACAGGAAACGATTCAGTAGAATTACACTGCCACGCTCAGTCGATTTGACAGAGAGAGAGAGAGAGAGAGAGAGAGAGGGGAAAGAGACTAATATTTTTTCTTCATAATTCTCTGTACAGTGTACAGTTAAAGAAAAGAAAAAGGAAAACTAACGGTGGAGATATGTGATCAGCGAAAATGGACGGATACGATGTTGTCTTCCATACTGCTCTGTTTCTTTTCCTCTCTTCTGTCTATTCTCTGCCGGCGAAAGAACGAACAGAAGAAGTGGCATCAGCTGCCACCAGCTGCGGTGGCCGCGTTGTTACTTTTAGACAGCCATGGCGGTTGGAAGAAGTGGTCTCCCAACTCGCCGTCATCGCCGAAGAACGCCGCTGCCTCCGGCGTGGTATCGGAGGCGGCGGCGGCTGCGGGGCCAGTAGATTCCTCCGCGCCGCCCCTGAAGAGCAGGTCGTCCTCGCCCATGACCTCCATGTCCTCCACCAGTAGCATTTCCTCGTCTTCGTCCACTTCCTCGTCCTCCCCGTCGTCGGCGTCAGCGTCGTCCCCGTCCTGTGGCGGGCGGCGCAGGAGCTCGTCCTCCATGGAGGCCGTGAGGGGGGTGTTGGGGGAGAGCCCCGCGGCGGTAGACGACGACGGGGGGCTGGAGGACGGGTTTCCGGGCGGAGGGCGGCCGCCGCCGCCGTCTTCTTCGGCCGCGGCGGCGGGGGTTGTGGAAGGGAACTTGTGGCGGGTGCTGCCGGCGAGGGAGTTGCGGTGGGTGGGCACGGGGTGGTTGTGCTCGGCGGTGTAGGTGATGATGAACATGCCCGGGTCTGTCCGGCTGCGCTCCACCTGCTTGCGGGCGAGGCAGCCCTTGGAGCTGCTACACCTGTAGTATCCGCTGTTCCCCACACGAGGGAAGAAACAAGCATATAGTTAGCTCCTTTCTTGCTCATCTCGAGCCACAGAGGGAGAAAGGACGTCGATAAGCTTGGCTTACCGAGGATAAGGAGATCCCTTGATGGGTTTCTGGCCGTACTTCCGCCACGCCCACACGTCGGAGGAGAGCCCGGCGGCGGGGACGTGACACACCACCTTCTTCTGCTGGTTCTTCCTGGGATCACCCAACCAAATATCGATCTGAGCCGCATGCGAAGAAGGACGAGATGGATGACGGCCGTGAGGCAGTCGTATCCTCTTACCTTCGTTTGGAGCGGGCGATCTGGGGGGCAGGCCGGTGATGCTGCCTCGACGGCGGCGGTTGATGCGGCCTCGGCAAGGCGACGGCAGAAGCGGCGGAGGCAGGGGAAGCGGACGACGGGCTCGCCCGCGCCAGCTGCTGCGGTTGCTGCCGGACTTTAGGGACGAAGGGCTTGCAGAGCTCCTCCAGCTCCTGCAGACCGTCGCTACTCCGGAACAGATCCGGGAAACCCACAAAAGAGCCATCTTTAACTCCCTCCGCCTCCTCCCCCGCCTCGAGCGGCACCGTCGGCGGAGGAAACGAAGAGAAGGGTTGTCTCGGCGCCGCCGCCGCCCCCGACGGCCTGCAGCTCCTTACCACCGCGCCAAGATCCCAGTCATCGTCTGCCATTCCCCTCAATCCACAAACCTCAGCGCGCGCTCCCACGAAGATCTGACCCGGGGTGGGCTCCGCTTATCTAGCCATGCTCCGCCGCGTGCGAAGCGAGACGGCGGCGCTGACCAAGGGAAGGGAGGAAGCCGGAAGTCCGAGAGAAGACAGAGACAAAGAGAGAGATAGAGAGAGAGGCGAGCGGCGCTGACTTTTCGGGGAAGGGTAGAGGAGTGGAGAGGAAGCGTGGACACGAGCTTTTCACATATAAAGGGTTGAGATTTGGGCAAAAAGTGGCGTGTTTGGTGGGTGGTGATGGACGCTCTATCGGGAGCCTCCTCCGCCCAAATCCGCCCAACCCCCACGGTGGTTTTCGGGAGACCGCCATCACTTTTACGCCCACTTGACCTCTCGGCCAAAGTCAAAGGGGTGAGAACAAATAATCTTTATACGTCGAGACTGTACGCGGGCGTCGCCACCAGAGGACACGTGCACTGCACGTGGAAACAAAACGCAAGCGGGAAGGCGAGGGGAGGGACTGTGGGGCCCACCTTTCGTGTCTTTTATGGGTAAAATTGAACGGTCCGAACAAAATCCCATTCGATTTGACTCCACTTCGGAGGTTTCTCTCCACCCGAACCTAAAATAACTGCATGCACATTAGATTTCGTTTGAGGGTCTCGAGACATTGGTTCTCCCACTACAAACACGATAAATCTGTGCCCATAGCATAGATTTAGAGAGATCTACTCGTGATGTCAAGCGTAAAAGGAGCTTCCAATTAATTGGTGGTCAAAGGATCTGTTTTTTTCCTTTAATCTTCTCACGCGTCTACATAGTCAACCACTTTTTAGGTCCCAAAACCCACCTCAAATGATGTTTGGATCCAATGTGAAATCAGAGCACATCAACAGGCCAAGTTTGCATCTACCTATCACTCGAGGAAGCCAATTTAGCCGAAGAACAGTGGCCGAAGAACGCGTCCCCCGCTTTGGTTAGGGATGAGAGACTGGCGGACAGACAGACGCACAAAGACAAAGGCGTAAAAGATACATCGGGAATGGTGTAGATGTATTGATTGAGGATTTATAAGGCAGCCTTTCGATGATGTGATGGACCCTTCACCACCGTTCTCTCTCTTTCTCTCTCTCTCTCTCTCTATATATATATATATACTCTGGTAAGGGGACCAGTATGTATGTTCCTTTTTCTTTTACCATCATGGTCTTAAAAAGATCATAGTGAGTGAGTAGAGAATATATTGTACTCTCTCACACTCTCTGTCTCTCTCTTCTCTCTAGCAGTAGAGCAGGGACCAGCTGCAACCAGTAGTCATTCATGTAGCATGGTCCTTTGCAGCAAAGGCTGGACATCGCGGAACATATAGATATCCTAATCCACACTGGTCTCCATCAGCTGCTGCTGTGTTAGTAAATGAGAAGCATTATTTGCACTTGAACTGATTAAGAAGGTGTTCTAAGCACCTCAACATTGGTGCATCGTTGTACAATGTTGCCATGCTTCCTCATAAATATGCATGCTCTGAAAGCTCTGTGCTGTACCTGACTGCTGTATATGGGTGTTCACATGCTACCAAAATTGTTATGGGATCTATGCATTTTTTGATGTTCATTAATATATATAAGTAGTAATCAGCAGTATAAACTTTTCGAATCGATATATGTCATGTTCACATATCATTCGAAATGGATGTATCGATTCATACCGCAGCTTAGATGTTAATGTTTAGAGAGAGACTTCACCGAGCCTCGCAAGAAGAAAAAGGAGATGGAATCAAGCGGCGATGCCTTGCGACCGGAAGGATTCAACGTACGATCCCGTGTCACGTGCATGGCACCGAAAAAAAAGTCAACCCGGTGAATTCTCATGTCGGAAGGGAACAGTAAGGAGAATCCAACGTCGGAGTCTTGTTCTTCAATTATTTAATCTTGTAAGTAACGTAAGAAGATATGAACTCGCTACTGTAGATTTACATGGAAAGGTTACCGCCGTATGGAGAGAGAGAGAGAGGGGGGGTGGGCGCCATGTTCTTCTTCCTTCACATCCATCACACAGTCGCCATCACACAGTCGCTGCAGTGTTCATATGGGGGCATCGAACGAGGGAGGGCTGTAGGCCATTTAAAGGAAGCATAGTGAGCTAGATTCTGTACTGGGTTACGTGTTGGAATGATGCTAAGATCACATATGTGTAGATACATGCAACAGCCCCTATCCACCTGGGGTCCTCCTCTCCGTGAGATAAAAGCTGGGTGACAGTCACAACCAGTGAAGCATGCCACCATCGACCATACGGCCGCGTCGTAGGGATCCCCAGGCTTAGGCACGTACGTGCCCTAGTAGCAGCAGCAGCAGCGCTGCAAAACCCTAGGCGGCCATCGCCTCGGACAAAAAGATGAAGGGGCCTTAGTGACGACGAGGTCAAGAGGCTTTAACCGCTGTGCCATGTGGTAACCCCACACCCCATGACTCTGGAATCGAGCGGCGACTGCTCTTTGGCTCGGCGCTTCCCCTCTTCTCTCATCTCGAAAAGGTGGTGAGTCGCATGGAAGATGACATCTGGGTGGCTCCATGGCTCCCAGCGAGGAGAGGATTCTCCGCCCGCCCGCACGCACGCACGCATGCATGGATTGATTGATTTAGAACCTCACCCCCATGCAGGAGATAGACCCCAACCCAATGCTAAGAATGTCTCGGATCCAAAAATGAAATAAATATTTAATAGAATAAAAAAGAACATATCGAGTAGAAGACGATCCTAATCGAAATGTTCGTGATGTTTTTCATGTACAACTATAACAACGAAGTTATGCTACTTGCAATTATATGTTCCCTTTCCTATGATTGATATCCGTATAAGATTATATATGTCATGTACAACAACTCATACCAACTAAAGAGCACCAGAGACAAACCTTCTTTTGACTCTACAGACAATTACGACTGCAGCAACATCTTTGTTCTGATTCCCGAAGCCGCCTAAGAGGTAGAGAATTTATGCCCCCAAACTATTCCTCTTTAGGCTATTAAACACTTCTTTTTGTTAATCAGGAGAAGAATATTGCACTAATGAAATCAACATAATAGAGGAAGAAAAAGAGAAGAAGAAGACTATTACTTCCGTCTATGCGACCAGAGGACAACCACTCAGTCGCAGCCTCAACCAATCACACACAGATCCATCCCTCCATCAAAAGTGCACGCCACTTTGTAGTGGAATTGCGGCAAAAACATGGCCAGAGAAAGAAGGATATGCCCAGCAGGAAAGCACTCGACACTGTCTCCATGCCCACCAAATCAGTGGCTATATACAGCCTCAGATCCTCCCCGAATCTCATTATTATCTTTTGTCCATTAATTCCTGTCGATAGTTTTATCAACATCACTCCAGCTGACAGAATCAGATAACACACACACACAAATATATAAAGGGAAAAGAGTTATTCCCATCATTGCTTCACAAGCAAGAGCATCACCCTAGTGCATATAACTGTTGTAACAACACTCGGCTCCACGCCGAAAAGCTCGAATTATTACGAGGATGGCACCCGAAGTGGTCGTGATCTGGATGAATGGTGGTGCCCCATGAACAGGGTCCAGAGGCCACATTGCAACTGTTTATAGCATCAGTGATTCCTGAGATGGCATGCGGCATAGACTTAGAAATGTGCTGGATAACAATACCTGATTAGCCTGCCGTCGACTTCGGTGTTCATTCTGCGAATCAGCGGTACTGACATCGAGCCTCCAACATGATCTTCTTGGGACTGTATGTTGCATAGCAGCTACCACACAGCAACCTGACAGCCATGGTTGGTGCCGGTGCTACCGTGAACTTATATGGCAGGTAAATCCGCCTTCCGAAATTGAAAGAGATATAGTGGATATCCACAGTATGCATGCTTAACCATTGGCTCCCCACCTGGTAGTATGTCCAGATACCTAAGAGTGGAATTGGATCAGTGATCAACCCCTGCTGTCCCCCACTTACCACAAGATTTATTGCTTGGCAACAAAGATGAGTCTCCCCAATCGAGTCCCTTTATAAGAGTGTACTCATGCGGCATGAGTCAAGAATGGATCAGGAACATGGTAAGTTATTTCAGTGTTTTCTACGTCAGAAAGAGCCCAGCCTTGTGATGTCAAAAGTAACCAACCACATTTGCTGTGAACAGAGGATCCATTTCTTGGATGAGTTTTCATTGGTGGTTTGCTTGCTCTAACCCCTTTGTCAGGTATTTCATCGTCTTCTTCAAGTTTGCTTTGGTCATCTGCCCATCACCCATCAAGATGCCAACCATTGTGATCTTTGGAAGAAGGGGATCAGTGAAAGTTCATTCGGGGCAACACCTTCAGATCTAGGCACAGTAAAATTAATGATCAAATCCACAAACTAAGACCAAAATGAGGATCCAGAACAAGAACACCAAACCTTGAATTTGACTTAGTCTGGTTGTCAAGAATCGCCGTTTCTGTTGTTGTCTAGACCAGGGATATAGAAATGGAGGTTAAAAATTGGTTGACTTTGTGACTGAGCATGGCATCCTTGTAGGCTATCATATGAACCAAGTTCCAAGTATCAAATTGCAAACTGGGTCGCTCTTTATTAAAGCCTTAGTATTTGGAACTGTGGTGGCCAACGAAGGAGACCTTAACGATGAAGTGGCACTCCTGAAAGGAAAAACCAACCGTACAGTACTACCACATACCATAATGAAATCAAACCAAGAAATAATGAACAAGATGACACAAATAGAAACAGATCAATTAACAAGTACAAGACTTGCTAACATACAGCACAATCCAATAAGATGGGGCATCTCAGTAAGATATACAAGATTTTATATTGATAGTAGCAACCAGATGACCAATGAGACTTTCTTTTTTTCTTTCCCCCTTCTTTCGTTTTTCTTTTCTTCTTTTCCTTTCTGTTCTTATTGTTTTTGGTTTTGGTTTTGAATTGAATCCTAAACTGCTTCTCTCCAATTACCCTCCACAAGCCAGATCATAAAAATTAATTGTCGTCGTATATACCTAACACAGAAAGACATTAGAGATTTAGAATTGTACAGCCATGCATCTTCACCTAAATCCCTCTCTCTAACCAGTCGGACTGTCACAGACAAACTTCTAAACAGGATGTTTGATGTAATGCTTATGTATGTCCGTGTCTTTTGGTATGTTCATGCTTTATACAGCATGTAGAGGGACGGCCGAAGGCTTACATTTTAGTTAGGTTGGTAGCCGCTTTAGGCTTGTAAATAAAGGTTGTGTCATGAGGACACGTGTGAGAGATTTTCGGTCTGTAATGGACCATTTTACCCTTTGTTGTGCAACTATTCAGAGCTTGTAAAGTCTGTAAAGTCTATAATTTGCATTGTCTATGAAGTGTTTTCGGAGATGTTTGCTTGTGGATCCCGAATGAGGCGTTTTCTCTAACCCATTCTCTCTTTTGTGGGTCCTAAGGGACATGGGAGGCTTCGGGGAGGCTGACCTTTGCAGATGGACACGCAAGGGTACCGCACGACTTAGGCAAAACCAACTAAGTCCGTGACAGGACGTCAACTCTAATAAACAATAACGACCAACAAGCAATTAGGCGATACCAATTGCGACGATCTTGGTTTGTAGTAGATCAATGGATGACCATAAAAAATACGATAGCATAACATGAAAGGACATTTGGTTAGCTGATTCTTTGTGATATTAGGCTAGCCCGAATCATGAGTCTATAATCTATTCTAATATAAAACATGAACAGCTGGCTTTGCTCTAAACGTTTCAGAAACAACCATATCTAACTGGCTTTTTTACATCCAAACAGGCTGTGAAGAACTGTATAATAACAATTTTTCTTGCCCTTTGAGAAAAAATAACTTGAACAACCTGCGATTCACTAGTTACCTAAGAACCATGAAAGAAACATTTTGTTTCATTTCACACATAACTACACCAACCGTGCAAGGGCAAAGAGGAAACAAATAATGTTCTTACAGGGTGCCAAAGGCCACATAGACAGGGATCGCAAGAGCAGTGGCAGCTAGGCCATGAAGGCAGTTCAGTTGCAAGCCTAATAACTTGCAAGCTGAACTTGTACAATAAAGCCATGGCCCAGTGCTTATTATCTTAGTGGCAATCAAACTCTGATTGAGCCAAGGTCATGGATGTCCATTTGAAGTGAAAACAAAAAATGACCTCGAATTAAGTCATCAGGATATGAACAACTGCTTGCTATCACAGAGCAACTTACATACCTTTCTTCAAATGAGTCGACCAGATGAGGAAATTTAAGCTGAATACCAGAGGTTTTTCTCAAACACTCTGTTTTCTAGTACTTTGTCAACAACATCAAGAAACTGAATCTCAGCAATGGTTGACAAGACACCAAGTGGTATTCCATATTGTCCCATTTCATCCGTCATTTGTTGATCCTGTGTTTCATGAGCAGCAAGACTGATGTTGATGTGATAGTATAAAAGGAATAGAAATAAGAGCAAAAACCTGGACAATATATTAATATATCTCTGAGTAAAGATCAGAAATAAACTAAAATGCATAAAAAGAAAACTTGTGCAGGTGTAGCAGCATCTCTGGAGGCTCAAACAAGAGGTCACTGTATTTCTCGATTACATTTGCTGTCAATTTATCATAATTAACATCCTGCTGCCATTGCATGTGTCAGTTTTGGCTAAAAAATGTGATGATCAACTGAAGCATCAAGGATGCTCTCCAGCAAACTTTTTTCAAAGAAGCATAGCATAAACCTAGAATCAGGCCTGACCACAGTTCTGGTTCCAGAACCAGCCGCTTTGGTTCCGGAACGAACAGTTCCGGTTCCCCAAAACTAGGAACCGGAATCGAACCAGCAAGCGCCAGGCGATTCCGATTTGAACCACCAGTTTTTTTATTATTTTTAATTAAAATATTTTACAATATGAAAAATTATAAAGTTATTGTTGAATAATAAAAAATAATTCAAAATTACAGAATCGATGGTTCGAACTAACACCAGAATCGCCGATTCTGATTATTGTTGTTGAATAATAAAAAATAATTTAAAACTACAGCAGTCAGTGTCGGAACAGATGGTTCCTGTTTTTTAAACCTATGAACCGAAACTGAACCTCCTTGGGCTGGTTCCGATTTGGCTTGTAACTGGTGAACCGTCATACCAGTTCGAACCAAAACTGTGGATAGGCCTACATGGAATCATGAGTACACAAAGTATCATCAAATGTTAAATTTGTTTTAGCACAGATATTAACAGAAAGAAACTATTTAAACTGCGATTAGAATTAAAGCATCGACGAGAAGGAAATGCTGTAGAAGCACTTGAATCAGAAAAAGGTGCCTAGTTGAACTTGAAGTAAAACAACGTTGTCACATGCCTCTGATACAGAACAATCGCATCCGACAAATCTATTTTGACTTTCCTGCGCTCCTTTTTTCTCAAGCTAAGAAATAAAGAAACATACAGAAACCTGTGTGTTAGAGCATGCCAATCGCCCATTACCAAGAGAAGAGAGAGACATCACAATGCGTGCATGCGCACACACGCCTCTCACAGAGAACAATCTCAATTGACAATTCATCTGTCTTTTTTTCTGCAGAGACAGCAAATTAAAGAAAGTCATAAGAGTTTCATCTAACCCTATTACAGGTTGAACGGAATCCAATCACAAGAAAATGGAAAGAGATAGGGTTTGACCTCTTGGAGATGAAGATGAAGCGGATATCGAATCAGAAGGTGATCACCATGAACCCGCTGCTGAATGGATCGAGCGTACTGAAGACCAGCCCGACAAAAGCAGGGCCACCTCCGTACTTGGAGCACGAGACGATCCCCTCTATCATCGTCCCCGAGGCAAGGATCCTGATAACCGACGACGGCGACGACGACGCCGCGCCAGGACCAGGCCGGGAGAAGCGGCATGGTCATCGACGAAGATCCGCCTGGCGGAGAGGCCATATGCGCTTTTTCCGCCGGGATGGCGCGACTGGGTTTGAACGAAAAGAAGCGAAGGAGGAAGAGGCTGCCCGTCGTCGCGGTGAGGTCGGTCGGAGGCGGAGGGGGCCATTGCGGCCATAGACGGCGATGTGACAGGTGCAGCGATCGCGAGGCACGCCGGAGATGATGCCGCGTGGGTGGCACCTTAGGATGAGCCCTCACGGTTAAGACCTGTGACGGGGAATCGGGATTCTCGGTTGTGCAACCCCTGTCCGAATTCTAGTCACTAATCTCAATGCACATCACAGCTGAACATAACAAACCCTCCTCGCATTAAAATGTGATCAAAAGAACATAGCTGATCCTAAACAGTATGCATAACAATATGATTCTAAGAGACAACACAGATTTACACATTATTAATCTTAATATCACAGACTTAACTAAGAATGACTTATCACATACTTAACTAGAATTACTTAAATCGGGAAGTATCTGAACATGTCCGACATATACGTCCGCAAAATATCAACCAAGTTATAACCTAATTACAACCTCGTACAGATCTTGAAAGACCTGTTAAATAGAAAGTTGATTAGTTTGAAAACGAACGATGGACAAATTCTGATATCTCATAAAGATAGAAGCTATACAAACAATTCAGCGAGCACCCAAGAGAGAAAAGAAAAAAAGAATAAAACAAAGACTTCAAAAGATTGAACGAATAATTATAAAGTCCACAAACAATTGCTCACCGGGTGTCGAGCACGAAGACAAATTCTCGTCAAGTTAAGATTGTACAAAAATAATATGATTATGAGTACAGATTGATTGTCAGGGTATCGAACCAAGTGATGCACTGAGAACCCAATCAGCTACGTTTCATTCCCAAACACAATAATTAGTCTTAGTTGTACAGATTCTCCTGACCTTGCTGCTTAAAACTCTAAATCACTTGATTGGAGTGCCTGAACACCAATCGCCTACATCGTTTGGTCGCAGTGGATATATGTTACACAGGCTATGTAACTGATGGCGAGCTTAAAACATCGGTCCATGTCAGTAGCACTGTACACTACTATTAACACCGGCTAAGCTGAGCCTACTCGGAATCAGTATCACATTTCACAAAACTGTACTCTTTTGGTTCATCGAGACTGAGGATTAAAGTCCCAGCATTCTCTTCTCTCCACTTGACACCTTCTTTTTCCACGAGGCCAAGCACCTATAGCGAACATGAAACTAGATTCAATTGTTTAGCCATCACGAAAAAAGAATTTTACAGCTCATGTGTTTTAAGACTATTATGAAAAATAATATGTAATTTTAGCTCCTCAATGCTTGTGCAGTTGTACCAAGAGAAGAAAACGGAGTACCTACTAATGAAAAGCAAGTGAAACAAAGTCTAATAGACATTACGCTGGTGATTATACTTTGGAACCTTATTTCCTGTATTAGTAAAGGACTGAAGACGCCCAATTCTTTGGTTGCTCAATGAATAAAACTTTTGCTAATGGAAGAAACAAAAGCTCAAGAAATGCAAAAAATATTGATTCTGGAAAGAACACGAACCCCTTGAAAAAAAACTCACCGCATGCTTCAATTTTCCCTTTCCGACACCATCAGCACCACATCCAGTGATAACTTTAAGATATGGGACAGCTATGTGGACAAAAAAGCACCATTAGACTTGTGGAACTCATAGAATATACTCCAGAAATACACAGAACAAAAGCATCTCCCGAATTATGATGGAACTCTAAGGCTAGGAAGTATTGGCCGCTTACAGGGAATATATGTGAACAATAGGAGGTGAAGTTTCAGAAGTCCTATTGCTTGCTTAACATGTTGCCCATGTAAATCAATGGTGACCATGTTTTTAATGTGCTTGTTTCTGCAGACAAATGTGCACACGAACTGGTCAGCAATCTATTGAAAAAGGAAAGAATTAATGAGAGCATGAGCTTGCCTGGTTTCAAAAATCTCTCGACTAGCTTTCTCATCTGCCTCACGTGCTATATCTCGGTAAAGCTTCCCCTAATCAAATACAGCATAGAACATAGTAGAGGGCATGTACAGTAGATCATAAATGCATCTCAAGAAATAATAATGAATGTAATACCTTATACAATGAATAATTATGAGACTGTTACATTTTAACTTAAATATTTTGATGCCTGATGTACCCCTTTTCTTTACAGGATAAGACAGGTCATGACCTAAATACAATTGCACCTTAAGAGATCTCTGAAAACAGTAACAGCTACAGCAGGTACATGGTGGTATGTGGTGCAAACAAAAGTTGTTGAATCTTTAAGATGATCATTTCAACAGATATCTACCTTTTCTGACAGATAAGAAGCATGAGCACGCTCACCTCTTGAGTATGCCATTGCAGCCTAAGAATTAGAAGAAATCATGAGTATATGGAATATGATATACTAAAACAAAATGTCAATATTAAGCTCCAAAAAGTATCTTACTTCTTGGTAGTAGGTTCGCATCTTATCCCAATGCTTCTTTGAAACACCACGAAACACTTGATAGTCATCTTCTTTACCTGCATCAAATAGCTATTGACAATTTGGATCAGAGTATCAATATTAAGGGCAAATGGATTGCTCCACCTTAAGTAGAACAGCAAGTATATGAGTTTTCTAATAAGATATGATAATTTAAAAACAAAGAAAAGTAACTAATAAAAAGGCATACCATATGCAGCATTTGATTGAGTATCTTCTGTGCTTGATGAACAGAACTCTAAACCCTGACCAAATGATTCTACCTTTGTAACTACCTTTTTCCAATTCATACAATTTGATTCATGCTTGGGTGAGTTAGGGATGTTAAACAATGACTCTAAGACTTTTTGCTGGAGAGCTGGTTTCGATTGTTCTGATTTGGATGGTAGTGGTACCTCATTGTCAGCAAGCACAAGTCCATGCTCCCTGCAGAGACCAATTTGGTTATGAGTAATTTATATACATCTTATATGCTATGTCCATGCAAGCATTACATGCATAAGTGCAATAACTGCAGTACTCCTTACAGAACTTCAAATATATCATGACAAGTGTGAGGACATGAGAATAACATAAAATGTTAAAGTAAGCTTCCTATGCCTCTTTGCAAAAATAATAAGCTTCCTATGCCCCTTTGCTTGATGAGGCTTAACAAGCTTCACAATGACTTGTCTTTTTGACATCTAAAGTGCAGACTTGAACTCATCTCATCCTTAAAGAAGTTTAAAGACAAATGAAATAGGAAAAGAGGGTTCATTAGTTTCTAATATGCCCCTAAATTTAAGAGATGCATAGAAAATTCAACAGGTTGGAGACTGAAGGATTATTGTCGTGGTTAGCCCTCTTAACTTCTAAAATTAGCCACCTGTGTTTCGCCAATACTGAATGTCAATTCACATTATTATCATCATCCATACCTATTCCAGGTAAGAGTAGCGATGGCCTAAACATCCAAAGAAAATTCTGAGAGGAAGGAAAATAATCACCTCCATCCAAAAAAGAGCAGGGTGAATACTATAGTGTAATCCTTACTCAAGAAAGTTAAGAGTTTGGTCCATTTACAGTTGAAGTGAAGTTCAGTAAAGTTTATTTTAGTTACTCCCATGATCTTCCTTTGTGTCTTCCAGACATCACCATTATCCCATAGTAACAGTTTTAGTCCCATTTCGAGTAAAACCGAGACTATTGTGCTACTTCAGGTGGATTGTGTTGGGACAGTTATTCAATTAAGAATAAAGTTCTGGAAGATACATGGTCTCTTTAGTTAGGAATCATGGGATTACATGTTATAGATAAGAATAATATTATCCCGTAAGATCTTCTTGCTTAAGTCCAAAATATAGGTTCTGATTATTGAGTCTCTAAATATATGGGGGTCACAAGTACACAATTTAAAATTTTCATATTAAAAATTAGCACACTACAGAACTAACTAAAAGATTAGATAGAGTCAACAAGGGCAACAAATCTAAACTCAATTGTTAAAGGGTTCTTTCTACAGATAATAATTATCATGGATTAAAGTCTCAGTCCAGTGTTGATGCCGATAGATGGCTGAACTCACAAGGGACATGTACAGATTGACATACCAACACTCAACAAAGGCCATTTACTACAAAGACCAAAGAAAAAGAGGGAGACGAGAGAAGGAGGGGGAGGAGAATAAGAGGCGATCAAAGGATGCAGAGGACTGGCAAAGGAGGGGGTAAAGGAGTAGTGAAGGAGAACAAGGAGGAGAAGGTAGAGGACTGGTGGAGTAGCAGGCAGATGATTGGCAGAAGAGGAAGCAGTAGGAGAAAGAGCATGATGAGACAGCAAACCGAGAGAGGAGACTGTGATGCAAGGGAGGAGGAGAAGGAGGTGGTGGCAGAGGAAGAGGAGAAAGAGGAAAGAAACATAGCACATAAGAGGGAAAGAAAAAAAGAGAGAAGAAGTGACAGCTGTTAAGAATAAAAAAAATTTGGTATCGTTACCAGGAGATAAGCTTATCACCTAGTATAATTAGACCAGTTTGCTTATTGCCTGAAAAACTCAATACAGTACAGGATGAACCGAACTAAATCACCTGACTAGCATCCTGATTGGCTATCAGACCGATAATAATCAACTTGTACCGACCAGTATGGGTGAAATTCTAAACCTTGATGATCATATCAAGAACCTATCTAGTACAATTGTGAGTCACTACTTGGAGTTTAAATTCTGCATCTCATGGAATATGAAATATGTCAAAAAGTTCAAATCCATTTGATTATCAATCAGGAAAGGATGTCAGAAGTTACCACAAATTTATTTTAGCAATTTCCTTAACCACCAAGTACTAAGACGGCATACTATTGCTGTCTAACTTATTTATCACATGATAATTGCAATAAGACAAATGTCATTCAAGTTCATCAAGTGTCCATCGTAAGAAAGCCCAGGGATAAATTACACTTGATTTGTAGTTTACAATTCTTAGAAAAATAATGAAGTTGGCATATTTTCGAGAACGCAAGAGTACATAGTAGTAAGATATGGAAAAAAAAAAGCAAGTCAGAGAATAACAAAATCTAGAGAGAGGATAATGAAACAGATAAAACATAAGCCATGTGCTTTGACATGAAATTTACATAAATGCTAAATGCTCTGAGATGCTAAATGTTTCAAAATAAAAAGAGACTAGAAAATTCATCAGCAGAATCAGCTCACCTGTTACTATATCCAACAAATGGTTGGAAAACATGTTCTTTTTCAGATAAATGATATGCTGAATCAGATGTCCTATCTCTTAACTGAAACAAATTTGTAAAATGACAATGTATCATGGCACAAATATTCTTCATTGTGGAGCTACGAATCAGTTTAAAAAGTAAAAGCACATTATAGCTATAGTTCCATCAAGGTGCTATCCTGAAAAGAATTATTAGTAATGACATATGGTCAAAAGAGAAAATATACTTCATAAAGTGTAATCAGAAGCATCTTGAGACACTACCAGTCCTGGTTAGATAACAGAATTAAGTTACTTGCTAAGCTAGCTACAATTATAGTGAAGAAAGACCAGTGTAATATCATCATATAACTTAACTTGCCAAAGAGAGCATAAATCAATCTGTCAGGGTATCTAATAATACTGAAAATTCAAAATATTACGGTTGATAAGAACATTAAACTGTATTCTCTCCATTCAGTTATGATTTATTTAATCTCAAATTGTTATAAAATGAACACAATGTTTGATAGAACCGTACATGCAATGTTGCCAGCCAAAATTTAACAGAAGATTATAGTGAATGCAAATAATTCGGGTATAAATTAATTAATTAAGCTTGACTTCAAGTGTGAAAGACAAGCTACAAATAGAACTTCCAAAAGTTGTGCCAGAACCTGGAATGAATTTATGGTGTTCTTTGGATGGTCATTGCTGGATGTTTCAGGACAGGTGTATGAATAGTTTGTCCTGGGTATGCCACGGTTTTGACTTTCTTTTTCCTTTAATTTATTACATGAGGAAGCTGATATATCCAGTAAAACTTCTAAAGCCTGCCAAAAGCACACAATACATATTAGATAGTGCAGGATGATTACCAAATAAAACAGAGGTCAGAAGACATTCAATTGTTCATATTATTTAATGTATGATTGTCTGTATGTTATTCTGGTAGATTGATCTAGTCGTTCTCTTTCGAAAATAATCTTGTTTGGTATTGCAGTAAATTAAGTTTCTTGTCAACTTCGTAACTGGGGAAAGATTTGCACCCATTGGAACCTAATGTCTTGTATATCCAGAGCAAATAATGGTTCTAGACTCAACATGTTGTCCATGCTTGTTACAAAAGCCACAACAAAGCTAAATCAACTACTAAGTTTTTTTCCTATTTTCTTTACTAGACAAGATCTGATCTATTAACCCCATTCGACTACTGCACATCATTATAGCCATGTCATATGATACCCCGAGGGTCTTCATGTCTTTCTACATATTTCATCCAGTTGCTGATGCATCTAAGGCATTATATAGGCTTCAAAATGTAATGGAGAAATAACTCAACTAACACTGAGTATTTAGCATTTGCATTTATCATTCAACAACACTAATGCTGTCAGATCTAATGGGATTTTTTTGTTGACTGAAATAGAAACCAAACAAGATGAAGTTTCTTCCAGCAAAATGTCTAGGGCGAAGCACCTAATAGAGCAGAGATATTTAGCAGAATTAATGTGATTACTTGTTTTTATTATTCAAATGTGATATATAGTTGACTGAAATAGAAGCTCAAACAAAATAAGACTTCTTCGAACAAATTGTCCGGGGACTATGCACCAAAAGAGGAGCTACATGATTGATTGTACTTTTCAGTATTCCACATAGCATTGAGATAATTCAAGAAAAGAAAGTAGCCAGAATCACATATAAATAAGTTTTACACAAGCAAATCTCCCACACAACACCAAATGTTCTTGACATTTAATTAAGACAAGCTAACAACAGAAAGTATGCAGTTGGATAAAGATTTTAAGGTACCTTTTCAATATCGCATCCACATTGGTCTGCAAAAAAAAAAAGATTTAAGTGACAGTTTTTTTGTAATTACAAAAAATCAACCAAGTCCAACGTGACCGAGAGTGTCAGCACACATTCACATATTAAGGATAGGGAGTCATGAATGCAGTTGCACACATCAAAGTAACCTATTGACTATCGATCAACATAAATTAATGCATAAAGAATGATCATAATAATCATAAGAATGAAAAAATTAAACTTTACGAAACCAGCCATAGCAAGAGAATTGTAATCATATTTCAGCCATTTTGATTGCTGAAAACAGATGAAACAGTATAACAGTATAGTCGTTCTTGCATCTTCCTGTTTCTGTGAAATCAACCAAGTGAATACATTGGCTGCCTTATTGTGATAAACAGGTTTTACATTTTTCGTCAGCTGGAACTCAAAATGCGAATAATCAAAACCATCACCAAGTAAAGTATGATCAGGTATAGCCATATAGAGCAC